AATAGTCCGGCGATTTCTCCCATGCACCACGAAAGCATTAACTCCCACGTGGCATCACCATGCTTCCGATTGTCATTCCACGTTAAGAAAACTCTAGGACACACCGTCCTTGACCTACTAACATGTTCAGGTACCCGTGCATCGTCCTGCGTCCGACCGAGATCGTCCACAGTCAACATGGGTCTCATTCCAGGTTTTTGGCCTCAAGTGAGCTTCGAGCTTTCCCCCTGAAAAAGAGTCGACCGTCTCAACCACTGCATATGAGTTTTGCAAGTTGCACCGACATCAACTTCTTTATGGCAGTGGTTGAGCACCCAGTTGGTTCAGACCCCTTGCGAGGAGTGATCCGATTGGGTTCTCCTCTTTTTCCCTGGTTCCAATAAGCCTGAATCCTACCCTCCCCAACCCATGGGTCAATGACGCCGCCTCGCAACGAGGGGGGGCCACCTAGCCATAGGCGGATTGGGATACGAAACCGACCGCATATTACCAGTGTCAAGAAGTTTGTAGGGACCGAGCGGACCCAAAGAGTAACCTTCCTCCTTGGGTATTCCACCTTGCTTGTGGTTCGAGGGCCAGTTCCTCCTCTCCCCATTTTACCAGGCGATCCTCCGCACCTGGAGAGCTTACCGCCCCCTCCGCTGGGGTCTGTGCACACCAACCCTCCGAGGAGAGTCCATGCGCACGTCTCACAGGACGCTCCCCTCCGGATCACAGAGTGCCGCCCTCTGTGGCCCGGGCCGATGCCTCATAGGACCTCATGACAAGCTCGACTTCATACCTAGATAATCCGCCTTGCTTGTGGTTCGAGAGCCAGTTCCTCCTCTCCCCATTTTTCCAGGTGATCCTCCGCACCTGGAAAGCTCCCCGCCCCCTCCGCTGGGGTCTGTGCACACCAACCCTCCGAAGAGAGTCCATGCGCACGTCTCACGGGATGCTCCCCCCTGGATCACAGAGTGCCACCCTCCGTGTTCCGGGCCGGTGCCTCATAGGGTCTCATGACAAGCTTAGACTTCATACCTAGGTAATCCGCCTTGCTTGTGGTTCGAGAGCCAGTTCCTCCTCTCCCCATTTTCCCAGGTGATCCTCCGCACCTGGAGAGCTCCCCGCCCCCTCCGCTGGGGCCTGTGCGCACCAACCCTCCGAAGAGAGTCCATGCGCACGTCTCACGGGACGCTCCCCCCCGGATCACAGAGTGCCGCCCTCCGTGGCCCGGGCCGGTGCCTCATAGGACCTCATGACAAGCTCGACTTCATACCTAGGTAATCCGCCTTGCTTGTGGTTTGAGGGCCAGTTCTCCTCTCCCCGAATTATTACTACGGAAAGGCCTCGGATTACCTTGGCTTACCGACTTTTCAAGCAACCGTCCTACCCAAAGATTAGTGAGAAGAGGTGAAAAGCCACTTCCCCCTAACCTTCTTAGGCTAACCACCTGGATTACGTTGGCTTACCGTCGTTTGGCGCAACCGAGTGACCCTTGCAAAGGTTCGGGGAGAGGTGGAGCACCCCTTCCCCCGGATTCTCTTAGGCCAACCACCCGGATTACGCTGGCTTACCGTCGTTTGGAGCAATCGATTCCCAGATGCCAGGGGTTGGGGAGAGGTGGAGCACCCCTCCCGCCCAGTATTCTTAGGCCAATGACCTGGATTACGTTGGCTTACCGTCGTTTGGGGCAATCGATTTCCCCGTGGCAAGGGTTGGGGAGAGGTAGAGCACTCCTCCCCTCCGTTGTTCTTAGGCCAGTGACCCGGATTACGTTGGCTTACCGTCGTTTGGGGCAATCTATGCCCACATGCCAAGGGTTGGGGAAAGATAGAGCACCCCTCCCCTCCGGTATTCTTAGGCCAATGACCCGGATTACGTTGGGTTACCGTCATTTGGGGCAACCGTATGACCCATGCCAGGGGTCGGGGAGAGGTAGAGCACCCCTCCCCTGCAGTATTCTTAGGAAAACCACCTCGATTACGTTGGCTTACCGTCGTTTGGGGCAATCGGTTCCACCATGCCAGGGGTTGGGGAGAGGTAAGGAGCCCCTCCCCTCCGGCATTCTTAGGCCAATGACCTGGATTACGTTGGCTTACCGTCGTTTGGGGCAACCGGATGCCCCGAGCCAAGGGTTGGGGAGAGGTGGAGCACCCCTCCCCTCCTATATTCTTAGGCCAATGACCCCGATTACGTTGGGTTACCATCGTTTGGGGCAATCGGATGGCCCATGCCAAGGGTTGGGGAGAGGTGGAGCACCCCTCCCCCCCCCCCCGTGTTCTTAGGCCAATGACCTGGATTACGTTGGGTTACCGTCGTTTGGGGCAATCGGATGGCCCATGCCAAGGGTTGGGGAGAGGTGGAGCACCCCTCCCCCCCCCCGTATTCTTAGGCCAATGACCTGGATTACGTTGGGTTACCGTCGTTTGGGGCAATCCGATGGCCCGTGCCAAGGGTTGGGGAGAGGTGGAGCACCCCTCCCCCCCCCGTATTCTTAGGCCAATGACCTGGATTACGTTGGGTTACCGTCGTTTGGGGCAATCGGATGGCCCATGCCAAGGGTTGGGGAGAGGTGGAGCACCCCTCCCCCCCCCCGTATTCTTAGGCCAATGACCTGGATTACGTTGGGTTACCGTCGTTTGGGGCAATCGGATGGCTTGTGCCAAGGGTTGGGGAGAGGTAGAGCACCCCTTCCCCCCCGTATTCTTAGGCCAATGACCTGGATTACGTTGGGTTACCGTCGTTTGGGGCAATCCGATGGCCCGTGCCAAGGGTTGGGGAGAGGTAGAGCACCCCTTCCCTCCTGTATTCCTAGACCAATGACCTGGATTACGTTGGGTTACCGTCGTTTGGGGCAATCAAGTCCCCGGAACCCAAGTGATGGAATCCATCCGGATCGGACCCCGGATGGGTTTGATCGAACCCATTCGGATGGAACCCATCCGGATCTGGATCGATCGAACCCATTCGGATCCGAGTCGATCGAACCCATCCTTATCGAGCCGATCCGGATCCGGATCGATCGAACCCGTGTGGATCAAACCCATCCGGATCTGGATCAATTGAACCCATCCGGATCCGGATCGATCGAACCCATCCGGATCCGAGTCGATCGAACCCATTCGGATAGAACCCATCCCTATCGAGCCCATCCGGATCCGAGTCGATCGAACCCATTCGGATCGAACCCACCCGGGTCCGGATCGATCGAATCCGTCCGGATCCGGATCAAATGAACCCTTTCGGACCCAAGCCCATCCGGATCCGGATCGATCGAACCCATCCGGATCCGAGCCGATCGAACCCATCCGGATCCGAGTCGATCGAACCCATCCGGATCCGGATCGATCGAACCCATCCGGATCCGGTTCGATCGAACCCATTCGGATGGAATCGATCCGGATCCGAGTCGATCGAACCAATCCGGATCCGAGTCGATCGAACCCATTCGGATCGAACCCATCCGGATCCGAGTCGATCGAACCCATTCGGATCGAACCCATCCTTATCGAACCCATCCGGATCCGGATCGAACCCATCCGGATCCGGTTCGATCGAACCGATTCGGATGGAATCGATCCGGATCCGAGTCGGTCGAACCCATTTGGATCGAACCCACCCGGGTGCGGATCGATCGAACCCATCCGGATCCGGTTCGATCGAACCCATTCGGATGGAATCGATCCGGATCCGAGTCGATCGAACCAATCCGGATCCGAGTCGATCGAACCCATTCGTATCGAACCCATCCGGATCCGAGTCGATCGAACCCATCCTTATCGAACCCATCCGGATCCGGATCGATCGAACCCATCCGGATCCGGTTCGATCGAACCCATCCGGATCCGGTTCGATCGAACCGATTCGGATGGAATCGATCCGGATCCGAGTCGATCGAACCCATTTGGATCGAACCCATCCGGATCCGGATTCACCGGCCCCATTCGTATCGAACCCATTCGGGTCCGGATCGATCGAACCATCAAGGTCAAAGCCTAGGCAGGGTATTCCTATGCCAATGGCCTGCATTGCGTTGGGTTACGATTGTTTGGGGCAATCAAGAACCGAAACCCAAGTGATGGGGAGTGGTAGAATGCCCCATCCCTAGAGTATTCCTAGGCCTATGACCTGGATTACGTTGGGTTACCGTCGTTTGGGGCAATCCGAAAACACATGGCCGAATGATGGGGAGAGGAAAAATACCACTTCCCTAGGGTATTCCTAGGCCTATGACCTGGATTACGTTGGGTTACCGTCGTTTGGGGCAATCCGAAAACACATGGCCGAATGATGGGGAGAGGAAAAATACCACTTCCCTAGGGTATTCCTAGGCCTATGACCTGGATTACGTTGGGTTACCGTCGTTTGGGGCAATCCGAAAAAATATGGCCGAATGATGGGGAGAGGAAAAATGCCACTTCCCTAGGGTATTCCTAGGCCTATGACCTGGATTACGTTGGGTTACCGTCGTTTGGGGCAATCGGATGGCCCATGCCAAGGGTTGGGGAGAGGTGGAGCACCCCTCCCCCCCCCCGTATTCTTAGGCCAATGACCTGGATTACGTTGGGTTACCGTCGTTTGGGGCAATCCGATGGCCCGTGCCAAGGGTTGGGGAGAGGTGGAGCACCCCTCCCCCCCCCCGTATTCTTAGGCCAATGACCTGGATTACGTTGGGTTACCGTCGTTTGGGGCAATCGGATGGCTTGTGCCAAGGGTTGGGGAGAGGTAGAGCACCCCTTCCCCCCCGTATTCTTAGGCCAATTGTTAGGATTAAGGACGGAGTCTAGGTGAACTTAGGAGCTAGAATTACTCAAAATATAAATCCGAAATTCTGGACAGAAAAGTCGTCTTTACAAGAAACGACGTCGACGAAAAACTAGCCGTTGGAATGTCGCGAAACTTGGATATGTTGTAGCTCTTAATCTCAGCTACCGTTCCCAATTTGAATCACGTTGATTGATGAAGTATTCGCGACGCTATGGCTTTCGACGCATTAGGGGGTAAGCTGTAGGAGGAGAACTTAACTCAATCTCAAAGGTTCAATCAAAGTTCAAGAATCTCACAAGGAATTAGAAGGAGCAAGAGAAAGGTTGGGATAGGAAGAGAGGGATGAGAGGGAAGGTCCCAAGAGAGTCCCCAACCAAGGAAAACCCCATAAGCACAAAGATTCCCTCCCTATAGGAACCCCAACTTTGACATTTGTCCCTTCCCAACCAATCCATCCAAGTTGGCCACCCTTGCCAACCTAGCTTGGTTGTTCCCAACCAATTTGCAGCTGTTACAGTAGAGTGACAAGTTTCCCCAACCCCAAAGGTCCCAACTCCATATAAAGTCACCCCACAACTTCACTTAGTAACCGCCGCAATTGTAACGCAAGCTCATGAACTTTGAATCTTCATAGCTTTCGCGTTCTTGCTCCGATTGAAGCGATTCTTGTTGCGTCGGAAAGATCTTCTCAAGATCTATTATCACAAATACCTGCTCAGACAGAATAACACAAAACACATTCCCAAACTCCAGAACACACCACACACAAATGCTTGCACATTCAAACCACACATGCAAGTTGAAAAAACATGGGATGGGAGGCAGACAGAATGTGATAGCATATGATGACATCACACAACAATCTCCCCCTCTGGCTGCCAACCATCATCGACCATACCACATCTCAAGCATGCATACTCAATGCACACTCATCCCAGCAAGCTTCATGCCCTTCCAATGATCCGCCTCCGCCAGACGCTTAGTGAAAATATCTGCTGCCTGCTGATGGGTCTTCACTATCTCCAGCCGCACCTCCTTATCAAGGAGTCTCCTCACCCAATGCCACTTAGGCCTTATGTGTTTTGTCAGCCCATGCAGACAAGCATTCTTGGCCAGCTTCACTGCAGACTCATTGTCACAGAACACAACTGTCGGCTCCTCCTGACCAACTCCCAACTCCTCCAACAAACGCCTCAGCCATACCACTTCCTTGGCCCCATGGTGTAAGGCCATGTACTCAGTCTCACATGAAGACAATCCCACCTCATTCTGCTTCTTGCTGCGCCAGCTCACAGCACCACCTCCCAGCAAGCACACATAACCCCCAATGCTGGTGCCATCCGCTTTCACTGAGTTGAAGCTAGCGTCAGTATAGCAACTCAAGAGCATCTCACCACTCTTCACATCTGCAGCACCTCTCTGCAACCGCTGCCTCACTCCACTGTACTCCAATCCCACTGATGCCGTAGCACTCACATAGCGGACCAACCTCTTGGCCGCTTCCAGCTGCTCATGACTAGGACGTGAAACCACGCTAGCCAGTCGTGATGTAGCAAATGCAATGTCAGGCCGTGTATGATTTGCAGCATAATTCAGCGACCCAACCATCGAATGAAACAGCTTCCTGTCACTATCACCCACTACCTCCTCATCAGCACATGGCTCCACAGTAAACCCTGAAGGTAGTGGTGTTGCTGGCTTTCCCCCATCTTGCAGCCCATACTTCTCAGCCAGCCCCTCACAGTACTTCCTCTGGTGCAACCTCAGCACACCCTTTTCCACATCTCTCTCCACATGCATCCCCAAGTAGTACTTCGCCTCACCCATCTTGGAGCACTTGAACTGCATCTCCAGCATCTGCTCTGCGCTGTCCAGCAAAGCAGTTGATGCAGAAAAGAGAAGGATATCATCCACATACACCAAGAGCATGAGGATTTCGTCCTTCTCCTGCAGCAGGAACAGGCTGGGGTCACACTCACTCTTCTTGAAACCCCCAGCCAGCAGCGCCTCCTCCAACTTGTGATACCATGCACGAGGCGCCTGCTTAAGGCCATAGATGGCCTTCTTCAGCCTGCAGACCCTGCCGCTCCCATCATCCAGCCCCTCTGGCTGCTTCATGTACACCTCCTCCAGAATGATCCCATTCAGAAAGGCAGTCACAATGTCCATCTGCCGAATCTTCCATCCCAGGAGTGCAGCTATCGCCAACAGCACCCTCAGTGTTGTTCCTTTCCCCACAGGAGCAAACACCTCATCATAGTCCTTCCCCTTTGTCTGCTGAAACCCCCGTGCCACAAGCCTAGACTTGTAGCGGGTCAGCTCCCCTTCAGGTCCATACTTGTGCCTGTAGATCATCTTGGAAGTGATTGCCTTCTTTCCAGGAGGCAAGTCACACAGGTCCCATGTCTCGTTCTCAATTAGGGACCCGAACTCCTCATCCTCACTCGCCTTCCACTTCTCCCCATTTGGTCCATTCAAGGCCTCTTCTCGAGTCTTGGGCTCAGGGATTGGTGCCCAGTAGCAGTGAGCGATCTCATCTTCCTCAATCTGCTCAACCACACTCCCAGCCTGCACCACATTCGGCTTGCCTCTTCCCCCATAGGTCAGCCTCACTGGAGGGCGCACATCCCTCCTAGGACGCTCAGGCGGGTGTGGAACTCGAGGTGGAGACTCATGCTGCTGCTGCTGCTGCTGCTCTACTTCAGCTGCTCCCCCTTCCTCAGTCACCCCAGACATCTCCTCCTCTGACACTGCAACCTCCACCTGTCTTGAAGGCTGCTGCACCTCATCTGCCTCCACAATGAGCGGTGTAGATGGAAGCTTCTGTTGCTGCTGCTTCCATTCCTTGTAGTACAGGGACTCAAGAAACTTCACATCCCTTGACACTGTCAACTTCTGGGTGGTCAAGTCCCATAGCAGCCACCCCTTGTGATCCTTTGCAATCCCCAAGTGCACACCCCATCTTCCAGAAGCCTCCAACTTCCCCCTTTTCTCCTTAGGCACATGAAACACCACCATGCACCCAAATGCCCTCAGCATGTTCACAGCTGGAGCACTCCCATACCACTTGACGTATGGGATCCACTCCTTATCTCCAACTGTAGCCAGCACCCTGTTCTTCACAAGGGCGACCTGCCTCAGTGCAGACACCCAAAACGGATCAGGCAGCCCTGCACGCCCAAGGAGAGTGCGTGCCCCCTCCTGCAGGGTCCTGTTGAACCTCTCAGCCACGCCATTCTGCTGTGGGTTGTAGGGCACTGTCAGTTGATGCTGGATCCCCTTCCTCTTCAACTCCCCCTCAAAATCAGCTCCAATGAACTCCCCACCATTGTCACTACGGATCACCTTCACCTTGTGTCCGCATTCCCTCTGAGCTCTCGGCATCCACTCCTTAAGGACAGCCGCTGCCACCTCCCCCTTGCTCTTCAAAGGGTAAACCCACACTGCCCAAGTGTGGTCATCCACAATTGTCAAGAAATAGCGGCTGCCTGAGAGGGAAGGGGCTCTTGTGGGCCCCACCACATCCATGTGCACAAGTGCAAGTGGGGTCTTGGATGGTCCAGTTGCACTGTTGAAGGGGAACTTGGAGAACTTGGTCTCCAAGCATGTAGGGCAGCTCCCAATCTCCTTCACTTCCCCTTTCACCTCCAAGCCCTTCAGGCTCCCATTCTTCACCAACTTCTGCAGCATAGGGAAGTTCACATGACACAACCTCTCATGCCATGTCTCCCAATCGGCCTCTCCACTCCTTGATGAAGCCTTAGCCCATGCCGCACTCGCATCCACACCAGCAAGCACCTCACCATGTGTCTGCTGCTTCTGCACTTTCTTGACTGCTTCCAGCACCCCATCAGTTGGTGCAGTTGCATCTCCTCCTGCTGTTGCCTTTGCCACTGCTGCCGTTGCTGCTGTTGGAGTCTTCCCATTCCAAGGGATGATGGGCAGCTGCCACAGGTCCTTGATGCAGCTGGTCTCCTCTTCCAGACTCCACAGCACCTTCTTCCCAAGCTTAGCACGGCAGCTGGTTGGTCCAAAGGTCACTTCGGCCTTACTCTTCTGCAGCCGCCGCACAGAGAGAAGGTTAGCAGACAAGCCTTTAACCAGCAGAACATTCCCAAGCCCCACAAGCTCCCCATTAGCTCCCTTAACCTTGGCATTCCCAACACCAATCACGGGGAGCAAAGCACCTGACGCTGCTGCCACATACTTAATCTTCCCAGGGGGTTTTACCTCATCAAGCAAATCTGCCCGTGGGGTCATGTGACTGGTGCAACCCGAATCAATCACCCAGTGCGTGAGAGGGTGCATCACAACCTTTCCCACAAATCCCACATCACCCTCATGCCCATGCACATCCTCAACCATAAGAAACAAACCAGGATAGGCATTACCTTGTGCACCTTCACCTTGTGCACCTGAGCCTTGCACAGCGCCACCTTGTGCGCGTTCACCACTGGGTGGCTTCATGCCTGGAGGTGCCCATCCCTCCGGCCTGCTGAAGCACTTGAACCAAGGATGCCCTATCTTCTTGCAGTACCAGCAGGTGCCCTCCATTCTGGTACTCCCCCTGCCACTAGAGCTCCCATGCCCCTCATTATAGTCACCTCGGCCTCTACCTCTGCCAAAGCTCCTCCCACGGCCTCGGCCTCTCCAACCCCCTCTTCCTCTGCCGCGCCCTGCAGCTCCATACCCCTCAGCAGTCTTAGTGGCAGCACCGCCTCCCACATGGCGTCTGCGGAAGTCCTCCTGCAGAATCTGCTGCCTTAGCCACTCAGGTGTCCATTGATCTTGTTGAGAGTTGAGGGTGGGGATGAGGTTGTCCCAAGAGTTGTCCAACACCGAGATGATCTTGGTGCACTGCTGCAGCTGAGATACACTGCTGCCCGCTGCTGCCATCCTTGCATAGGTGTCCTTGATCTTGTCAAGGACCGGCTTCACATCGTCCCCTGGTCGCATGGAGATGGCAGCAAGTTCCTTCTCGAGCACGATCACCATCAGGAGAGTGTTGGGCTGAACCACATCACGTAGTAGTTTCCACGCCCTTGGACCCGAATCATCCGCTTCCACAAGATCCTTGATGTGCTCGAACATCTCCTTGTTGACCGATTGAAGAATGAGGTCGAAAAGCACCGCGCTTTTCTCAATCCACCGTTCACGTGCTTCGCCTTCTTCCGGCATCTTCTCTTCCCCAACAGCAATCTTCAGTAGCTTGTAGCGTTTGAAGGCACTCCTCATCCGTCCGCTCCATTCCTCATAGTTGGAGCCATCCAAAGCTTCAACTTTTGATGGCGGCGGCTCACTTGTCTTCTCAGCTACAGCTCCTCTTCCATTAGCATCTCCTCCTCTCTCATTCATCTTCTCCTTGAGAAATGACGAATTTCAGCTCCCCTTTGCTGTCCACACTCAGCTCCCTCGATATTTTCACAAGTGTCGGCGTCCACGAAATTTCGGCAGAGTTTCCCCTTAGCGGAAGACACATCCAACCTTTAGAACACCACTTAGGCACACCCACAGGCCATGGTGGGTCTAGAAGGGTCTTCACACTTCTGTAGACTCCTCTCAATGTCCTTAATATCGCTCTGATACCACTTGTTAGGATTAAGGACAGAGTCTAGGTGAACTTAGGAGCTAGAATTACTCAAAATATAAATCCGAAATTCTGGACAGAAAAGTCGTCTTCACAAGAAACGACGTCGACAAAACACTAGCCGTTGGAATGTCGCGAAACTTGGATATGTTGTAGCTCTTAATCTCAGCTACCGTTCCCAATTTGAATCACGTTGATTGATGAAGTATTCGCGACGCTATGGCTTTCGACGCACTAGGGGGTAAGCTGTAGGAGGAGAACTTAACTCAATCTCAAGAGTTCAATCAAAGTTCAAGAATCTCACAAGGAATTAGAAGGAGCAAGAGAAAGGTTGGGATAGGAAGAGAGGGATGAGAGGGAAGGTCCCAAGAGAGTCCCCAACCAAGGAAACCCCATAAGCACAAAGATTCCCTCCCTATAGGAACCCCAACTTTGACATTTGTCCCTTCCCAACCAATCCATCCAAGTTGGCCACCCTTGCCAACCTAGCTTGGTTGTTCCCAACCAATTTGCAGCTGTTACAGTAGAGTGACAAATTTCCCCAACCCCAAAGGTCCCAACTCCATATAAAGTCACCCCACAACTTCACTTTGTAACCGCCGCAATTGTAACGCAAGCTCATGAACTTTGAATCTTCATAGCTTTCGCGTTCTTGCTCCGATTGAAGCGATTCTCGTTGCGTCGGAAAGATCTTCTCAAGATCTATCATCACAAAAAACCTGCTCAAACAAAATAACACAAAACACATTCCCAAACTCCAGAACACATCACACACAAATTCTTGCACACGTTCAAACCACACATGCAAGTTGAAAAAATATGGGATGGGAGGCAGACAGAATGTGATAGCATATGATGACATCACACAACAGAAGCGATGCGAAGCGAAGCTAAGCGAAGCGAAGCGAAGCTAAGCGAAGGGAAGCAAAGCTATGGGAGGCGTAGCGAAGCAAAGCTAAGCAAAGTGAAGCAAAGCGAAGCGAAGATAAGCAAAGTGAAGCGAAGATAAGCGAAGCGAAACGAAGCTAAGCAAAGCGAAGCAATGCAAAGCTAAGTGAAGCGAAGCAAAGCTAAGGGAAGCAAAGCGAAGCTAAACGAAACAAAGCTAAGTGAAGCGAAGCGAAGCTAAGCGAAGCAATGCAAAGCTAAGAGAAGCGAAGCTAAGCAAATGGTAAGCGAAGCTAAGCGAAGCGAAGTCAAGCTAAGCGAAGCGAAACGAAGCAAAGCAAAGCGAAGATATGCGAAGCTACGAGAAGCAAAGCTAAGAGAAGCGAAGAAAAGCTAAGCGAAGCAAAGCAAAGCGAAGCGAAGCGAAGCAAAGCGAAGCGAAGCTAAGCAAAGCGAAGCGAAGCTACGCGGAGCGAAGCTAAGCAAAGCTAAGCAAAGCTAAGCGAAGCGAAGCTCAGCAAAGCGAAGGGAAGCTAAGCGAAGCAAAGCGAAGTGAAGCGAAGCAAAGCGAAGCGAAGCTAAGCGAAGCGAATCTAAGTGAAGCGAAGCTAAGCGAAGCAAAGCGAAGCGAAGCTAAGGGAAGGTAAGCGAAGCTAAGCGAAACGAAGCTAAGCGAAGCTAAGCGAAGCGAAGCTAAGCGAAGCTAAGAGAAGCGAAGCAAAGCTAAGCGAAGCACAGCGAAACAAAGAGAAGCTAAGCAAAGCGAAGCTAAGTGAATCGAAGCGAAGCTAAGCGAAGCAAATCGAAGCGAAGCGAAGCAAAGCTAAGAGAAGCGAAGAGAAACTAAGCGAACCTAAGCGAAACGAAGCAAAGATAAGCGAAGCTAAACGAAGCTAAGGAAAGCAAAGCAAAGCTAGGCGAAGCTAAGAGAAGCTAAGCGAAGCTAAGCGAAGCGAATCGAAGCTAAGCAAAGCTAAGCGAAGCGAAGCGAAGCTATGCGAAGCGAAGCAAAGCTATGCGAAGCGAAGTAAAGTGAAGTGATCACGAAGCTAAGCGAATTGAAGCGAAGCTAAGCGAGGCGAAGAGGGGCAAAGTGAAGCAAAGCGAAGCTAAGCAAAGCAAAGCAAAGCTAAGCTAAGTGAAGCTAAGTGAAGCGAGGCGAAGCGAAGCTCAGGGAAGCGAAGGGACGCTAAGCGAAGCTAAGCGAAGCTAAGCGAAGCAAAGCGATGCCTATTGAAGCTAAGCAAAGTGAAGCGAAGAGAAGCGAAGCGAAGCTAAGCGAAGTAAAGCGAAGCTAAGCGAAGCAAAGCGAAGCTAAGCGAAGCAAAGCGAAGCAAAGCGAAGCTAAGCGAAGCTAAGCGAAGCTAAGAGAAGCGAAGTGAAGCTAAGCAAAGCGAAGCGAAGCTAAGCGAAGTGAAGCAAATCTAAGGGAGGAGTTGGGACCTTTGCTTCATAAGCTTGTGTTACAATTGCGGCGGTTACTAAGTGAAGTTGTGGGGTGACTCTATATGGAGTTGGGACCTTTGGGGTTGGGGAAATTTGTCACTCCACTGTAACACCTGCAAATTGGTTGGGAACTACCAAGCTAGGTTGGCAAGGGTGGCCAACTTGGATGGATTGGTTGGGAAGGGACAAATGTCAAAGTTGGGGTTCCTATACGGGGGAAATCTTTGTGCTTATGGGGTTTCCTTGGTTGGGGACTCTCTTAGGACATTCCCTCTCATCCCTCTCTTCTATCCCAACCTTTCTCTTGCTCCTCTAATTCCTTGTGAGATTCTTGAACTTTGATTGAACTTTTCTCCACCTACAGCTTACCCTCTAGTGCGTCGAAACACATAGCGTAGCGGATACTCCATCAAACGACGTAATTCAAATTGCGAACAGTAGCTAAGATTACAAGCTAAAACATATCCGATTTTCGCGACATTCCAACTTCTAGTTTTTTCATCAACGTGGTTTCTTGTGAAGACGACTTTTCTGTCCAGAATTTCGGATATATATTTTGAGTATTTCTAGCTCCTAAGTTCACCTAGACTCCGTCCTTAATTCTAACAAAGCGAAGCGAAGCTAAGCAAAGCTAAGAGAAGCTAAGCGAAGCTAAGCAAAGCTAAGCGAAGCTAAGGGAAGCAAAGCGAAGCTAAGCCAAGCTAAGCCAAGCTAAGCGATGCTAAGCGATGCGAAGGGAAGCTAAGCGAAGCTAAGCGAAGATAACCGAAGCGAAGCGAAGCTAAGAAGGCTAAGCAAAGCTAAGCTTAGCGAAGCGAAGCTAATCGAAGTGAAGCGAAGCTAAGAGAAGCGACGCGAAGCGAAGCGAAGCTAAGTGAAGCTAAGAGAAGCGAAGTGAAGCTAAGCGAAGTGAACACGAAGCTAATCGAAGCGAAGCAAAGCGAAGCCAAGCTAAGCAAAGCTAAGCGAAGCTAAGCAAAGCGAAGCAAAGCTAAGCAAAGCGAAGGGTAGCTAAGCGAAACTAAGCGAAAGGAAGCGAAGCTAAGCAAAGCAAAGCGAAGCTAAGTGAAGAGAAGCGAAGAGAAGCGGAGCGAAGCTAAGCAAAGCGAAGCAAAGCTAACTGAAGCTAAGAGAAGCGAAGCGAAGCTAAGCTTAGCGAAGCGAAGCGAAGCCAAGCAAAGCGAAGCCAAGCCAAGCCAAGCGAAGCGAAGCTAAGCAAAGCGAAGCTAAGCGAAGCGATGCGAAGCTAAGCGAAGCAGAGCAAAGCAAAGCTAAGCAAAATGAAGCAAAGCGAAGCTAAGCGAAGCGATGCGAAGCTAAGCGAAGCTAAGCAAAGCGATCACGAAGCTAAGCGAAGGGAAGAAAATCTAGGCGAAGCGAAGCGGGGCAAAGTGAAGCCAAGCGAAGCTAAGCAAAGCGAAGCAAAGCCAAGCGAAGCTAAGCAAAGCGAAGCGAAGCGAAGAGAAGCGAAGAGAAGCAAAGCGAAGCGAAGCGAAGCGAAGCTAAGGGAAGTGATGCGAAGCTAAGTGAAGCGAAGCGAAGCGAAGCTATGCGAAGCGAACACGAACCTAATCGTAGCGAAGCGAAGCAAAGCTAAGTGAAGCAAACGCGAAGCTAAGCAAAGCGAAGCAAAGCTAATCGAAGCGAGGCGAAGCTAAGCTAAGCGAAGCGAAGCAAAGCTAAGGGAAGCGAAGCGAAGCTAAGTGAAGCTAAGCGAGGCTAAGCGAATCGAAGCGAAGCGAAGCTAAGCGAAGCGAAGCTAAGTGAAGCGAAGACGAAGCTAAGCGAAGCGAACGCGAAGCTAAGCGAAGCGAAGCAAAGCTCATCGAAGTGAAGCGAAGCTAATCGAAGCTAAGCGAATCTAAGAAAAGCGAAGCGAAGCTCAGCGAAGCGAAGCAAAGCTAAGCGAAGCTAAGCGAAGCTAAGCGAAGCAAGGTGAAGCAAAGCTAAGCAAAGCAAAGCGAAGCGAAGCAAAGCTAAGCGAAGCTAAGCGAAGCGAAGAGAACACGAAGCTTTGCGAAACTCGCACGAAGGTAAGCGAAGCGAAGCGAAGCGAAGCTAAGAGAAGCAAAGCGAAGCTAAGCGAAGCTAAGCAAAGTCAAGAGAAGCGAAGAGAAGCTATGGGAAGCAAAGCGAAGCTAAGCAAAGCGAAGCTAAGCAAAGCGAAGCAAAGCGAAGCTAAGAGAAGCAAAGCTAAGCAAAGCGAAGCGAAGTTAAGCCAAGCGAAACAAAGCTAAGCCAAGCTAAACGAAGCTAAGCGAAGCGAAGCGAAGTTTAGAGAAGCAAAGCGAGGCTAAGTGAAGTGAAGCGAAGCTAAGCGAAGCGATGCTAAGCAAAGCCAAGTGAAGCTAAGGGAAGCGATGTGCCGCGAAGCAAAGCAAAGCGAAGTGAAGCGAAGCAAAGCTGAGCGAAGCTAAGCGAAGCAAAGCAAAGCGAAGCGAACCTAAGCGAAGCGAAGCGAAGCAAAGCAAAGCGAAGCGAAGCAAAGCAAAGCAAAGCAAAGCGAAGCGAAGTGAAACGAAGCGAAGCTAAGAGAAGCAAAGCGAATCTAAGCGAAGCGAAGCAAAGCTAAACGAAGCTAAGCGAAGCAAAGCGAAGCTAAGTGTAGCTAAGCGAAGCGAAGCAAAGCTAAGCGAAGCGAAGCAAAGCAAAGCGAAGCGAAGCAAAGCTACGGGAAGCAAAGCAAAGCAAAGCGAAGCAAAGAGAAGCAAAGCAAAGCTAAGCGAAGCTAAGCGAAGCAAAGCTAAGCGAAGCAAAGCAAAGCTAAGCGAAGCAAAGCAAAGCAAAGAGAAGCAAAGCGAAGCTAAGCGAAGCTAAACGAAGCTAAGCGAAGCAAAGCAAAGCTAAGGGAAGCAATGTGAAGCGAAGCAAAGCTAAGCGAAGCGAAGCTAAGCCAAGCGAAGCAAAGCTTAGCGATGCAAAGCGAAGCTAACCGAAGTGAAGCGAAGCTAAGCGAACCGAAGTGAAGCTAAGCGAAGCGAAGCTAAGGGAAGCTAAGCAAAGCAAAGCTAAGCGAAGCGAAGCGAAGCTAAGCAAAGCGAAGCGAAGCTAAGCGAAGCGAAGCAAAGCTAAGCGAAGCGATGTGAACCTAAGCGAAGCGAAGGTATGCGAAGCTAAGCAAAGCTAAGCTAAGCAAAGCAAAGCTAAGCGGAGCGAAGCGAATCGAAGCAAATCGAAGCGAAGCGAAGCTAAGCGAAGCAAAGCTATGCGAAGGTAAGCGAAGCGAAGCTAAGCGAAGCGAAGCGAAGCGAAGCGAAGCGAAGCTAAGCGAAACGAAGCGAAGCAAAGCGAAGCTAAGCGAAGCAAAGCAAAGTTAAGCGAAACGAAGCGAAGCAAAGCAAAGCGAAGCAAAGCTAAGCGAAGCTAAGCAAATCGAAGCGAAGCTAAGCGAAGCGAAGCTAAGCGAAGCGAAGCGAAGCTAAGCGAAGCGAAGCGAAGCTAAGCTCAGTGAAGTGAAGCGAAACAAAGCTAAGCGATGCGAAGTGAAGCTAAGGGAACTTAAGCGATGCGAAGCAAAGCTAAGCGAAGCTAAACGAAGCTAAGCAAAGCAAAGTAAAGCTAAGCAAAGCGAAGCGAAGCTATGCAAAGCGAAGTAAAGTGAAGCTAAGCGAAGCCATCACGAAGCTAAGCTAAGCGAAGCGAAACAAAGCTAAGCGAAGCTAAGCGAAGCAAAGCGAATCAATGCTAAGTGAAGCGAAGAGAAGCGAAGCTAAGCTAAGCGAAGACGAAGCTAATCAAAGCGAAGCGAAGCTAAGCGAAGCGAACGCGAAGCTAAGCAAAGCGAAGCAAAGCTAATCGAAGCGAAGCCAAGCTACTCGAATCGAAGCGAAGCTAAGAGAAGCGAAGCAAAGCTAAGCGAAGCGAAACAAAGCTAAGTGAAGCTAAGCGAAGCTAAGCGAAGCAAAGCGAAGCTAAGCGAAGCGAACATGAAGCTAAGCGAAGCGAACACGAAGCTAACCAGAGCAAAGCGAAGCTAAGAGAAGCAAAGCAAAGCTAAGCGAAGCTAAGCGAAGCTAATCGAAGCGAAAAGAAGCTAAGCGAAGGGAAGCAAAGCTAAGCAAAGCTACGAGAAGCGAAGCGAAGCTTAGGGAAGCGAAGCGAAGCTAAGCGAAGCGAACCTAAGCAAAGCGGAGCAAAGCTAAGCAAAGCTAAGCGAAGCTAAGCGAAGCAAAGCAAAGAGAAGCGAAGAGAAGCGACGCGAAGCGAAGCGAAGTTTAGAGAAGCAAAGCGAGGCTAAGCGAAGAGAAGCAAAGCTAAGCGAAGCGAAGCTAAGGGAAGCGATGCGACACGAAGCGAAGCGAATTGAAGCAAAGCTAAGTGATGCAAAGCAAAGCTAAGCGAAGCTAAAAGAAGCTAAGCGAAGCAAAGCAAAGCTAAGCGAAGCTAAGCGAAGCTAAGCGAAGCGAAGCTAAGCCAAGCGAAGCAAAGCTAAGTGAAGCTAAGCGAATCTAAGCGAAGCAAAGCGAAGCGAAGCTAAGCGAACCGAAGCAAAGAGAAGCGAACACGAAGCTAAGCAAAGCGAACATGAAGCTAACCAGAGCGAAGCGAAGCTAAGAGAAGCAAAGCGAAGCTAAGCAAAGCTTGTTGTGTGATGTCATCATATGCTATCACATTCTGTCTGCCTCCCATCCCATGTTTTCAACTTGCATGTGTGGTTTGAATGTGCAAGCATTTGTGTGGTGTGTGTTCTGGAGTTTGGGAATGTGTTTTGTTTTATTCTGTCTGAGCAGGTATTTGTGACGATAGATCTTGAGAAGATCTTTCCGACGCAACAAGAATCGCTTCAATCGGAGCAAGAACGCGAAAGCTATGAAGATTCAAAGTTCATGAGCTTGCGTTACAATTGCGGCGGTTACAAAGTGAAGTTGTGGGGTGACTTTATATGGAGTTGGGACCTTTGGGGTTGGGGAAACTTGTCACTCTACTGTAACAGCTGCAAATAGGTTGGGAACAACCAAGCTAGGTTGGCAAGGGTGGCCAACTTGGATGGATTGGTTGGGAAGGGACAAAGGTCAAAGTTGAGGTTCCTATAGGGAGGGAATCTTTGTGCTTATGGGGTTTCCTTGGTTGGGGACTCTCTTGGGACCTTCCCTCTCATCCCTCTCTTCCTATCCCAACCTTTCTCTTGCTCCTTCTAATTCCTTGTGAGATTCTTGAACTTTGATTGAACCTTTGAGATTGAGTTAAGTTCTCCTCCTACAGCTTACCCCCTAATGCGTCGAAAGCCATAGCGTCGCGAATACTTCATCAATCAACATGATTCAAATTGGGAACGGTAGCTGAGATTAAGAGCTACAACATATCCAAGTTTCGCGACATTCCAACGGCTAGTTTTCTGTCGACGTCGTTTCTTGTGAAGACGACTTTTCTGTCCAGAATTTCGGATTTATATTTTGAGTAATTCTAGCTCCTAAGTTCACCTAGACTCCGTCCTTAATCCTAACAAGTGGTATCAGAGCTGTATTAAGGACATTGAGAGGAGTCTACAGAAGTGTGAAGACCCTTCTAGACCCACCATGGCCTGTGGGTGTGCCTAAGTGGTGTTCTAAAGGTTGGATGTGTCTTCCGCTAAGGGGAAACTCTGCCGAAATTTCGTGGACGCCGATACTTGTGAAAATATCGAGGGAGCTGAGTGTGGACAGCAAAGGGGAGCTGAAATTCGTCATTTCTCAAGGAGAAGATGAATGAGAGAGGAGGAGATGCTAATGGAAAAGGAGCTGTAGCTGAGAAGACAAGTGAGCCGCCGCCATCAAAAGTTGAAGCTTTGGATGGCTCCAACTATGAGGAATGGAGCGGACGGATGAGGAGTGCCTTCAAACGCTACAAGCTACTGAAGATTGCTGTTGGGGAAGAGAAGATGCCGGAAGAAGGCGAAGCACGTGAACGGTGGATTGAGAAAAGCGCGGTGCTTTTCGACCTCATCCTTCAATCGGTCAACAAGGAGATGTTCGAGCACATCAAGGATCTTGTGGAAGCGGATGATTCGGGTCCAAGGGCGTGGAAACTACTACGTGATGTGATTCAGCCCAACACTCTCCCTATGGTGATCGTGCTCGAGAAGGAACTTGCTGCCATCTCCATGCGACCAGGGGACGATGTGAAGCCGGTCCTTGACAAGATCAAGAACACCTATGCAAGGATGGCAGCAGCGGGCAGCAGTGTATCTCAGCTGCAGCAGTGCACCAAGATCATCTCGGTGTTGGACAACTATTGGGACAACCTCATCCCCACCCTCAACTCTCAGCAAGATCAATGGACACCTGAGTGGCTAAGGCAGCAGATTCTGCAGGAGGACTTCCGTAGACGCCATGTGGGAGGCGGTGCAGCCACTAAGACTGCTGAGGGGTATGGAGCTGCAGAGCGCGGCAGAGGAAGAGGGGGCTGGAGAGGCCGAGGCCGTGGGAGGAGCTTTGGCAGAGGTAGAGGCCGAGGTGACTATAATGAGGGGCATGGGAGCTCTAGTGGCAGGGGGAGTACCAGAATGGAGGGCACCTGCTGGTACTGCAAGAAGATAGGGCATCCTTGGTTCAAGTGCTTCAGCAGGCCGGAGGGATGGGCACCTCCAGGCATGAAGCCGCCCAGTGGTGAACGCGCACAAGGTGGCGCTGTGCAAGGCTCAGGTGCACAAGGTGAAGGTGCACAAGGTAATGCATATCCTGGTTTGTTTCTTATGGTTGAGGATGTGCATGGGCATGAGGGTGATGTGGGATCTGTGGGAAAGGTTGTGATGCACCCTCTCACGCACTGGGTGATTGATTCAGGTTGCACCAGTCACATGACCCCACGGGCAGATTTGCTTGATGAGGTAAAACCCCCTGGGAAGATCAAGTATGTGGCAGCAGCGTCAGGTGCTTTGCTCCCTGTCATTGGTGTTGGAAATGCCAAGGTTAAGGGAGCTAATGGGGAGCTTGTGGGGCTTGGGAATGTTCTGCTGGTTGAAGGCTTGTCTGCTAACCTTCTCTCTGTGCGACGACTGCAGAAGAGCAAGGCCGAAGTGACCTTTGGACCAACCAGCTGCCGTGCTAAGCTTGGGAAGAAGGTGCTGTGGAGTCTGGAAGAGGAGACCAGCTGCATCAAGGACCTGTGGCAGCTGCCCATCATCCCATGGAATGGGAAGACTCCAACAGCAGCAACGGCAGCAACGGCAAAGGCAACAGCAGGAGGAGATGCAACTGCACCAACTGATGGGGTCCTGGAAGCAGTCAAGAAAGTGCAGCAGCAGCAGACACATGGCGAGGTGCTTGCTGGTGTGGATGCGAGTGCGGCATGGGCTAAGGCTTCATCAAGGAGTGGAGAGGCCGATTGGGAGACATGGCATGAGAGGTGTGTCATGTGAACTTCCCTATGCTGCAGAAGTTGGTGAAGAATGGGAGCCTGAAGGGCTTGGAGGTGAAAGGGGGAGTGAAGGAGATTGGGAGCTGCCCTACATGCTTGGAGACCAAGTTCTCCAAGTTCCCCTTCAACAGCACTACAGGACCAGCCAAGACCCCACTTGCACTTGTGCACATGGATGTGGTGGGGCCCACAAGAGCCCCTTCCCTCTCAGGTAGCCGCTATTTCTTGACAATTGTGGATGACCACACTCGGGCAGTGTGGGTTTACCCTTTGAAGAGCAAGGGGGAGGTGGCAGCGGCTGTCCTTAAGGAGTGGATGCCGAGAGCTCAGAGGGAATGCGGACACAAGGTGAAGGTGATCCGTAGTGACAATGGTGGGGAGTTCATTGGAGCTGATTTTGAGGGGGAGTTGAAGAGGAAGGGGATCCAGCATCAACTGACAGTGCCCTACAACCCGCAGCAGAATGGCGTGGCTGAGAGGTTCAACAGGACCCTGCAGGAGGGGGCACGCACTCTCCTTGGGCGTGCAGGGCTGCCTGATCCGTTTTGGGTGTCTGCACTGAGGCAGGTCGCCCTTGTGAAGAATAGGGTGCTGGCTACAGTTGGGGATAAGGAGTGGATCCCATATACCAAGTGGTATGGGAGTGCTCCAGCTGTGAACATGCTGAGGGCATTTGGGTGCATGGTGGTGTTTCATGTGCCTAAGGAGAAAAGAGGGAAGTTGGAGGCTTCTGGAAGATGGGGTGTGCACTTGGGGATTGCAAAGGATCACAAGGGATGGCTGCTATGGGACTTGACCACCCAGAAGCTGACAGTGTCAAGGGATGTGAAGTTTCTTGAGTCCCTGTACTACAAGGAATGGAAGCAGCAGCAACAGAAGCTTCCATCTACACCACTCATTGTGGAGGCAGATGAGTTGCAGCAGCCTTCAAGGCAGGTGGAGGTTGCAGTGTCAGAGGAGGAGATGTCTGGGGTGACTGAGGAAGGGGGAGCAGCTGAAGTAGAGCAGCAGCAGCAGCAGCAGCAGCAGCATGAGTCTCCACCTCGAGTTCCACACCCGCCTGAGCGTCCTAGGAGGGATGTGCGCCCTCCAGTGAGGCTGACCTATGGGGGAAGAGGCAAGCCGAATGTGGTGCAGGCTGGGAGTGTGGTTGAGCAGATTGAGGAAGATGAGATTGCATTGTGCTATTGGGCTGCAATTCCTCAGCCTAAGGTACTGACGCTAGCTTCAACTCAGTAAAAGCGGATGGCACCAGCATTGGGGGATATGTGTGCTTGCTAGGAGGTGGTGCTGTGAGCTGGCGCAGCAAGAAGCAGAATGAGGTGGGATTGTCCTCATGTGAGACTGAGTACATGGCCTTACACCATGGGGCCAAGGAAGTGGTGTGGCTGAGGCGCTTGTTGGAGGAGTTGGGAGTTGGTCAGGAGGAGCCGACAGTTGTGTTCTGTGACAATGAGTCTGCTGTGAAGCTCGCCAAGAATGCTTGTCTGCATGGGCTGACAAAACACATAAGGCCTAAGTGGCATTGGGTGAGGAGACTCCTTGATAAGGAGGTGCGGCTGGAGATAGTGAAGACCCATCAGCAGGCAGCAGATATTTTCACCAAGCGTCTGGCGGAGGCGGATCATTGGAAGGGCATGAAGCTTGCTGGGATGAGTGTGCATTGAGTATGCATGCTTGAGATGTGGTATGGTGGATGATGGTTGGCAGCCAGAGGGGGAGATTGTTGTGTGATGTCATCATATGCTATCACATTCTGTCTGCCTCCCATCCCATGTTTTCAACTTGCATGTGTGGTTTGAATGTGCAAGCATTTGTGTGGTGTGTGTTCTGGAGTTTGGGAATGTGTTTTGTTTTATTCTGTCTGAGCAGGTATTTGTGACGATAGATCTTGAGAAGATCTTTCCGACGCAACAAGAATCGCTTCAATCGGAGCAAGAACGCGAAAGCTATGAAGATTCAAAGTTCATGAGCTTGCGTTACAATTGCGGCGGTTACAAAGTGAAGTTGTGGGGTGACTTTATATGGAGTTGGGACCTTTGGGGTTGGGGAAACTTGTCACTCTACTGTAACAGCTGCAAATAGGTTGGGAACAACCAAGCTAGGTTGGCAAGGGTGGCCAACTTGGATGGATTGGTTGGGAAGGGACAAAGGTCAAAGTTGAGGTTCCTATAGGGAGGGAATCTTTGTGCTTATGGGGTTTCCTTGGTTGGGGACTCTCTTGGGACCTTCCCTCTCATCCCTCTCTTCCTATCCCAACCTTTCTCTTGCTCCTTCTAATTCCTTGTGAGATTCTTGAACTTTGATTGAACCTTTGAGATTGAGTTAAGTTCTCCTCCTACAGCTTACCCCCTAATGCGTCGAAAGCCATAGCGTCGCGAATACTTCATCAATCAACATGATTCAAATTGGGAACGGTAGCTGAGATTAAGAGCTACAACATATCCAAGTTTCGCGACATTCCAACGGCTAGTTTTCTGTCGACGTCGTTTCTTGTGAAGACGACTTTTCTGTCCAGAATTTCGGATTTATATTTTGAGTAATTCTAGCTCCTAAGTTCACCTAGACTCCGTCCTTAATCCTAACAAAGCTAAGCAAAGCGAAGCAAAGCTAAGCGAACCTAAGAGATGCGAAGCAAAGCTAAGGGAAGTGAAGCAAAGCTAAGCGAAGCTAAGCGAAGCAAAGCGAAGCTAAGCAAAGCAAAGCTTAGCAAAGCGGAACAAAGCTAAGCAAAGCTAAGCAAAGCAAAGCTAAGCGAAGCGAAGCGAAGCAAAGCTAAGCGAAGCTAAGCGAGGCTAAGCGAAGCAAAGCGAAGAGAAGCGAAGCGAAGCGAAGCGAAGTTTAGAGAAGCAAAGCGAGGCTAAGCGAAGAGAAGCGAAGCTAAGCGAAGCGAAGCTAAGGGAAGCGATGCGACACGAAGCGAAGCGAAGCGAAACAAAGCTAAGTAAAGCTAAGCAAAGCTAAGCCAAGCAAAGCGAAGCAAAGCAAAGCAAAGAGAAGCAAAGCGAAGCTAAGCAAAGCTAAACGAAGCTAAGCGAAGCAAAGCAAAGCTAAGCGAAGCTAAGAGAAGCGAAGCGAAGCTAAGGGAAGCGAAGCGAAGCCAAGCGAAGCAAAGCGAAGCTAAGCGTAGCAAAGCTTAGCAAAGCGGAACAAAGCTAAGCAAAGCGAAGCTAAGCGAAGCGAAGCAAAGCGAAGCGAAGCTAAGCGAAGCTAAGCAAAGCTAAGCAAAGCTAAGCGAAGCTAAGCGAAGCTAAGCGAAGAGAAGCGAAGAGAAGCGAAGCAAAGCAAAGCGAAGTTTAGAGAAGCAAAGCGAGGCTAAGCGAAGAGAAGTGAAGCTAAGCCAAGCGAAGCTAAGTGAAGCGAAGCTAAAAGAAGCGATGCGACACGAAGCGAAGCGAAGCGAAGCAAGACTAAGCGAAGCTAAGCAAAGCTAAGCAAAGCAAAGCGAAGCAAAGCAAAGCAAAGCTAAGCGAAGCTAAGCGAAGCGAAGCAAAGCTAAGCGAAGCGCAGCGAAGCTAAGCGAAGCCTAGCGATGCAAAGCGAAGCAAAGCGAAGCAAAGCTAAGGGAAGCTAAGCGAAGCAAAGCTAAGCGAAGCGAAGCAAAGTGAAGGGAAGGTAAGCAAAGCAAAGCGAAGCGAAGCAAAGCGAAGCGAAGCTAAGCGAAGCGAAGCAAAGCGAAGCTAAGCGAAGCGAAGCTAAGCGAAGCGAAGCTAAGGGAAGCTAAGCGAAGCAAAGCGAAACGAAGCGAAGCAAAGCGAAGCTAAGCGAAGCGAAGCAAAGCTAAGCGAAGCTAAGCAAATCGAAGCGAAGCTAAGCGAAGCTAAGCTCAGTGAAGCGAAGCGAAGCAAAGGTAAGCGAAGCGAAGTGAGGCTAAGCAAACTTAAGCGATGCGAAGCAAAGCTAAGCGAAGCTAAACGAAGCTAAGCAAAGCAAAGCGAAGCTAACCGAGGCGAAGCGAAGCTAAGCTAAGCGAAGCTAAGCGAAGCGAAGCTAAGCGAAGCCATGCAAAGCTAAGCAAAGCAAAGCGTGGCTATGCAAAGCGAAGTAAAGCGAAGCCATCACGAAGCTAAGCGAAGGGAAGCGAAGCTAAGCGAATCGAAGTGGGGCAAAGTGAAGGGATGCGAAGCTAAGCAAAGCAAAGCGAAGCGAAGCAAAGCTAAGCAAAGCTAAGCGGAGCGAAGCTAAGTGAAGCTAAGCGAAGCTAAGCGAAGCTAAGCTAAGCAAAGCGAAGCTAAGCAAAGCGAAGCTAAGCGAAGTAAAGTGAAGCAAAGCTAAGAGAAGGGAATCGAAGCTAAGCAAAGCGAAGCGGGGCAAAGTGAAGCGAAGCGAAGTTAAGCAAAGCGAAGAGAAGCTAAGCAAAGCGAAGCGAAGCGAAGCGAAGCGAAGCGTAGCGAAGCGAAGCGAAGCGAAGCAAAGCTAAGCGAAGCTAAGCGAAGCTTAGGGAAGCGAAGCGAAGCTAAGCGAAGCTAAGCAAAGCGAAGCGAAGCTACGCAAAGCGAAGCGAAGCTATGCGAAGCGAAGCGAAGCTAATCGAAGCGAAGAGAAGCAAAGCTAAGCGAAGCGAACATAAACCTAATCGAAGCGAAGCTAAGCGAAGCGAACACAAAGCTAAGCAAAGGGAAGCAAAGCATATTGAAGCGAAGGGACGCTAAGAAAAGCGAAGCGAAGCTAAGCGAAGCAAAAAGAAACAAGGCGAAGCAAAGCGAAGCAAAGCTAAAAGAAACTAAGCGAAGCTAAGCGAAGCGAAGCGAAGCGAAGCGAAGCGAAGCGAAGCTAAGCAAAGCTAAGCGAAGCGAAGTGAAGCGAAGCTAAGCAAAGCTAAGCGAAGGGAAGAGAAGCGAAGTTAAGCAATGCTATCACGAAGCTAAGCGAAGGGAAGCGAAGCTAAGCGAAGCCAAGCGGGGCAAAGTGAAGCGAAGCGAAGCTATGCGAAGCGAAGAGAAGCAAAGCAATGCTAAGCAAAGCTAAGCGAAGCTAGGTGAAGCAAGGCGAAGCTAAGCAAACTGAAGCGAAGCTAAGCGCAGCAAAGCTATGCGAAGCGAAGCGAAGCTAAGCGAAGGGAAGCGAAGCTAAGCGAAGCGAAGAGAAGCGAAGCTAAGCAAAGCGGACATGAAGCTAATCGAAGGGAAGCAAAGCTGAGCGAATCTAAGCGAAGCGAACACGAAGCTAAGCGAAGCGAAGCAAAGCTAAGCGAAGCGAAGCAAAGCTAAGCGAGGCGAAGCAAAGCTAAGCAAAGCCAAGCGAAGATAAGCGTAGCAAACCAAAGCAAAGCGAAGCGAAGCTAAGTGAAGCAAAGCAAAGCTAAGCGAAGCTAACCGGAGCTAAGCGAAGCTAAGCGAAGCGAAGCAAAGCAAAGCTAAGCGAAGCTAAGCAAAGCGAAGCTAATCGAAGCGAAGCAAAGCTTAGCGAAGATAAGCGAAGCGAATCTAAGCAAACCGAAGCTAAGCGAAGCAAAGCAAAGCAAAGCTAAGCGAGGCAAAGAGAAGCTAAGCAAAGCCAAGCGAAGCGAAGCGAAGCTCAGCGAAGGAAACCTAAGCAAAGCGAAGCGAAGCTAAGCGAAGCAAAGCGAAGCGAAGCTAAGCAAAGCGAAGCGAAGCAAAGCGAAGCTAAGCGAAAGGAAGCGAAGCTTAGCGAAGTAAAGCGAAGCTAAGCGAAGGGAAGGGAAGCCAAGCGAAGCGAAGCTAAGCGAAGCGAAGTGAAGCTAAGCGAAGCTAAGCTAAGCGAAGCGAAACAAAGCTAAGCGAAGCTAAGGGAAGCAAAGCGAAGAGAAGCGAAGCAAAGTTTAGAGAAGCAAAGCGAGGCTAAGCGAAGCGAAGCAAAGCTAAGCGAAGCGATGCTAAGCAAAGCTAAGCGAAGCTAAGGGAAGCGATGCGACGTGAAGCAAAGCAAAGCGAAGTGAATCAAAGCAAAGCTAAGCGAAGCTTAGCGAAGCGAATCTAAGCAAAGCGAAGCTAAGCAAAGCAAAACAAACCAAAGCGAAGCTAAGCGAATCGAAGCGGGGCAAAGTGAAGGGAAGCGAAGCTAAGCAAAGCAAAGCGAAGCGATGCACAGCTAAGCGAAGCTAAGCGGAGCGAAGCTAAGCGAAGCGAAGTGAAGCTAAGCGAAGCTAAGCTAAGCTAAGCGAAGCGAAGCTAAGCGAAGTAAAGAGAAGCGAAGCTAAGCAAAGTGATCACGAAGCTAAGCAAAGGGAATCGAAGCTAAGCAAAGTGAAGCGGGGCAAAGTGAAGCGAAGCGAAGCTAAGCTAAGCGAAGCAAAGCTAAGCAAAGCGAAGCGAAGCTACGCGAAGCGAAGCAAAGCTAAGCAAAGCGAAGCGAAGCTAAGGGAAGCGAAGCAAAGCTAAGCGTTGCTAAGCAAAGCTTAGTGAAGCGAAGCGAAGCTAAGCAAAGCGAAGCGAAGCTATGCGAAGCGTAGCAAAGCTATGCGAAGCTAATCGAAGCGAAGCGAAGCGAAGATAAGCAAAGTGAAGCGAAGATAAGCGAAGCGAAACGAAGCTAAGCAAAGCGAAGCAATGCAAAGCTAAGTGAAGCGAAGCAAAGCTAAGGGAAGCGAAGCAAAGCTAAGCGAAGCAAAGCTAAGTGAAGCGAAGCGAAGCTAAGCGAAGCGATGCAAAGCTAAGAGAAGCGAAGCTAAGCGAAAGGTAAGCGAAGCTAAGCGAAGCTAAGCGAAGCGAAGTGAAGCTAAGCGAAGCGAAACGAAGCAAAGCAAAGCGAAGATATGCGAAGCTACGAGAAGCAAAGCTAAGAGAAGCGAAGAAAAGCAAAGCGAAGCGAAGCGAAGCAAAGCGAAGCGAAGCTAAGCGGAGCGAAGCTAAGCAAAGCTAAGCAAACCTAAGCGAAGCGAAGCTCAGCGAAGCGAAGGGAAGCTAAGCGAAGCGAAGCGAAGTGAAGCGAAGCAAAGCGAAGCGAAGCTAAGCGAAGCGAATCTAAGTGAAGCGAAGCTAAGCGAAGCAAAGCGAAGCGAAGCTAAGGGAAGGTAAGCGAAGCTAAGCGAAGCTAAGCGGAGCGAAGCTAAGCGAAGCTAAGAGAAGCGAAGCAAAGCTAAGCAAAGCACAGCGAAACAAAGAGAAGCTAAGCAAAGCGAAGCTAAGTGAATCGATGCGAAGCTAAGCGAAGCAAATCGAAGCGAAGCGAAGCGAAGCGAAGGTAAGCTAAGTGAAGCGAAGCGAAGCAAAGCTAAGAGAAGCGAAGAGAAACTAAGC